TCATCTCCACGTTCATCTCATTTCATCTACTGTGCTCTTTTTAATGTCTTTGCCTGAAGGAAGCATTTGTTTTTCTGTTTACTTGGTGCAACCTCTTCCGCAGAACAGCCTGCATCTGCTTCTGTCTACATGGCTCCCTGCTGCCTGACAGACCTACCCTACCCTATTCTTTCACTCACTCCCTTTCCTTTTGTGGCCAGCAGCTCCATCTGGAACCATGCGTGGCCAACCACAGTGTCGATGGGGGCTCCCTAGCCTTCCTCTCCTGTTATCAGAGCCAACCTGTTGTCCTTTCTTCCATAATCATGGGGATGGAATTGGAGCTGAGCCTAGGGGATGTCACAACGTTTGGTTTTATATGAAAGTTCAAATTCTGGGGACCGCTCCATCCCCATCAAGAGTGTGCAGCCCCTCAGAAACTGCTGTGCATTGGGGGTTACAGGTGAATGGGCAGGAACAGGGTTCCTGAGCACTAGCCTGCAACCGTCCCTGTTCATATTCAAGATACTAGACAACCACTTCCAAACCCGATCCCAACCCCATGAAGCCCTGCCAGAGGCAGGCACAAGCTTGGAAAGAATACTGTTTGTCCAGCGGGGGTAATAAGTGCTTCCAGAGCATGGAGACCTGTTTCCCATGGAACAAGAGTTGACACACAGCATCTTCCGAAGGATGAGCTTTCCATCCTTGTAATGTAGAGAGACGCTGGAAAATGACCCAGGAGACTACAGAGAAACCTTTTCTATCAAAGGTCGTTATGGCTTGAGCAAAAAAGAAAAGGTGGTATCCTGTGTCAAACTCAATTTGGGGGTGGGGTGGGGTGGGGCGGGGCGGGGGAGTAGGTTACGTCTTTGAAGTACTGTTTAGCTATTGTGGAATTTTTGTTCATTTTATTACTAAGAGAGCGGAAGCTCTTTGTGAGAGCAACCCACAGCTGTTGTAAGAGCTATGCATAACTAATACTAAAAACAGCCCCTTCAACATTCTATAAAACCAATCCCCCACACACACACACACAAAAATCCAAAACCTATAAACCCAACTGAGCCTTTTAAATTATAAGTTACAAGAGAGTAACTTAAGGTAACACAATACTAATGAAAGATGTATACTTCAAAGGATATCAGATATTAATATTACATTCCTAAAGGCAAACAGATTATCATCAGCCCATAATTTTTTTTCTTTTTTACATAATAACAGAAATCACCAACAAGATGACTGTTCATGTCTCTACAGCCATTCTTATGCTTTGGAACATTTCCTCAGAGAAAGTGCACTTGGTAATACATAATTCCACAATATCCCTAGGGGCATGACAAGTACCAAGGCTGAATAAAATTGATTTGATAATATCTAGCCAGATTCAAATTGATAAGCCACTCTGCTCTTATTAGAGCGAGCTTCAATTCTGTACTGCGGATCACACTACAGACGGGCCTTCCAAGAGGACATACTGCGCTCAACTCTGAGTCCGTCCTCAGGAGGCAGGAATTGCGCTTTATAATAACATTAGGTAACAAGACTTTCCCAAGGATGGTGCCAAAAGATATTCTTATTCAGCTACTCCAATATACCGGCATCCAATGCACAAAATACAAGAACTGAAGGGTAACACACTTCAAGGGAATTTCCATTTGCAACTGTTTTAATAAACATCCCTTCTCCAAATCCCTGGCTTTAGATTTCATGGGAATTCCGCGTTTGGAAGGGAGCTCATAATACCAACCCTAGAGGACTGCAGTGACGATTAGAGAGAAGAGTAACACCACTGGCCTGCAGCCAGCAGCATGGTAACCACTTGATTAGTGGGGTTTCCCTCATTTTACATAGGACTATACCTCTGTTTCTCTCATGGGGGCTTTTCTTTCTCTTGGTGGGTAAAGTTTCTACACACACACACACACACACAGACATTTTAGAGACTGTCAGTCATCGTTGCACTTGTTGGCAACACAAAACATGTATGCTGAGTCGCAGAAAGGTATAAAGACAAGCGTTTTCTTTGGGGTCCTCAACTTCTGTCCAGCCTGCATTTGCAGCCTGGTGACTCACGATGTGCCTGCAATGGACTGCAGACTGGGGAAGCAAAGCTAAAAATACCACAGTTCCCAAGAAATGTCAAAGACTAATGCCCCTGACATTGACTGAGAGCATGTCTGTGATCATGAAAGTGACTCTGAGAAACGTAAACAACCAGAGAAACCTCAGAGCAGGAGGAAGCAGGCAGAGCGTGGACCAGTCTGCCATCCTGGCCTACAGGTCCCCAGCCTTCCGTAACTAGGACCCGGGGGACACATGCCCTCCGCGACTCACCCTTGTAAAATATGAAGGATCTGCTTGATGCCTCCCCAGATGCGAATTTCCACACTGGTCTCAGGGTCCTCACACACCTGAACCAGAATCCAGACGACACTCCAAAGTAGCTTCAGGTGTTCGGAGTGGAGCAGACTGAGGAGGATGGGTATCCCCTCATAGAGCTTCAGCTGCTCCTTCACCTGGGGTTCGGCACACAGCAGACGCAGTAACTCGGCGGTCAGTCTGGAATCGGGTGGGGAGGGGTGATTCGAATCACAGCAAACACAGGCTGTTGACCATACATTAGGCTACAGTTATCG